TATTCTTGAAGCTAGGCGAAGATCATGTTTTGAGACTGTTGCTCACAGTACTACTGAATCAGTTAGAGGGAGTCCCAGCTTCAACCTTGGAACATCAGAGAAATCTGTTTTCTGGTTGATTTCTCTTTAATAATCCAGAATGGGCTGTATTACTACATTTGTGTCTTTGTTATTTGAGAACTGAGATAAATTAATCCTACAAAAATCTTACTGTTTTAAAAATATATTTGCTAATTTTAAGAACTATTTATTTATCTTTTACTATTTTTTCTTCTTTCCTCCTCCATATGCCATTTGTGAATCTTCCCAAAGACACAAAAAAGAAAGGTTTGTTCTTTGAGTCACTGCAATTTTTCTGGCTTAAGCAAATGACCAATACTTTCATTTATCCAGTAACTACTGAGTACTTATGTATAAGTTGTATTTTACCAGGATTTTGAGGGGTATAACAGTGAATAGATAAATGAAAGGTCTCAAAATTTAGAATTAAAGTGCATTTTAAAAATTATGTAGCCCAACTCTAGTGTGTGTGTGTGTGTTACTATAGATGAATAGTTTGTGGCTCTAAAATTCTCAAGTTTACACCCACAGTTAAGTGACAAAACCAGGACTGGAACCTAGATCTCTTGAAGTCCAGTTTCCTTTCTTTATATCGTATTTTTTTTTTCTAATTTAGATTTCTTTTCTATCCTATGAAGAAACCTTCAGGCAGCTCTACACAAAATGTATATTTCTTACTTTTTAGGTTATTTCCTCAATTTATCTACCATTATAAGAACTTGACAATGCAGTTATATATCTTTGTTGGCTTCCTACAGGTAGATTTTTTTTTTTAATATGTAAAGCATTTAATCTTTGGCTCAAAAGTCTTTCTTTCTTGCTCTCTCCTCCCCCTTCTCCACCCTCCCACCTTTCCTCCCTCTTTTCTACTCTTCCCTCTCTTTCCCACCTCCTTGGCTTCATTCTCAGGCAGGTTCTTTCAAGGTGGGAAAAATGGCTACCAGCAGTCCAGGTATATCCTTATGGCTCAAGATCCAAAATATCTATATATCAGATTTCCCCAGAGGACTTTGGGTCAGCTTGAGTTACAAGTGTACTTGTTTGGCCAGGAAAGCAAAATACCACTATGAACAGCCACACCAGGACCACCTGGAAGGGACCACGGTGGTTCCCTTTAGAAGGGATGCAGACAAATCTTGGAGGCTACTCTGTTTGGCCTTTGACACCTTAGCTATGCTCTAGCTGCCCTCTCTGAAGAACTGCTGCCCCCCGTAAGTGTGTTCCAGCCAAGTTGGTGTGCTCCTTACTTTCCCATTCTTACACCCATGGTCTTAACTCCTGTTTTGCTCTACTGGATATCTTCTCCACTTTGTCTCTTTCTCAGTCTCCCAACCCTATTTAATTACATCCTCCTAACTATCCTTCCAGGTCCAATTAAGTTCTAATCTCATATGGTAAGTACTCCATATCATCCCATGGCCATGCTATATGATCTTTCTTTAAACTCCAGTAGCAACACTTACTTGAGTACTTGCTATTGTAGACACTAATCCTACAGAAACCAAACCAGTGGTTTCTTGGTTATGACACCAAAAGCACAAGTGACCAAAAACATTAGATAAACTAGACTCCATCAAAATTAAAAACTTTGTGCTCATCAAGAAAGTGAACCTCACATTTCAATGATTAAAAAAAAAAACAAGTAGCTCAATTTAAAAATGGGAAAATTATTTGAATAGACATTCTTTGGAGGGAAAACATATACATGATCTTATATAAGCACATGAAATAATACATAACATCATTAGTTCTCAAGGAAATGCAAATCAAAACCATGATGAGATACCACTTCACACCTTTATCTAGAATGGCTAAAAAAGACACATAATAACAGGTTTTGATGAAGCCATCATACATTGCTGATGAGATTGTAAAATGGTACAACCATTTTGGAAAAGTTTGGCTGATCCTCAGAATGTTAAACATAGAATTGCTCTATCACCTAGCAATTCAACTGCTAGGCATGTGTACCCGATAGAATTGAAAACATATGTCCACACAAAAACCTGTACTTGAGTTGTATGAACTATCTGTATATTCTGGAGATTAAACCTTTGTCAGTCGCATAGTTTGCAAATATTTTTTTCCCATTCCGTAGGTTTTCTTTTTGTTTTGTTTATAGTTTCCTTTGCTGTGCAAAAGCTTGTAAGTTTTTTTTTAAATAGCTGAAATTCTTTTTTTTTTTTAAGCTTGTAAGTTTAATTAGGTTCCATTTGTTTATTTTTACTTTTATTTCTATTGCCTTGGTAGACTGCCCTAGGAGGACATTGCTAAGATTTATGTCAGAAAATGTTTTGCCTATGTTTTCATCTAGGAGTTTTGTAGTGTCTTGTCCTACGTTTAAGTTTTTAAGCCATTTTGAGTATTTTTGTGTATGGTGTGAAGGGAACGTTCTAATTTCAT